CAAATTTTCATAACCTAAATAATTCAATATTAATTAATTCTTGGAATAATTTATGTAATACAATTTTCTTAGTAAATTTAAACTGAGGATGTATTGTTTTTAACATTCTTCGAAAATATACATACAATAGATGTTTATTTTGTTGATATAAGTTTTCAGTTGAAAAATCACAATTTCCATATTAGATACAATTTAAATAATTTTGAAACCTATCAGTCCAACTTTCACATTATCCTTTGCCCCGTGGGAAAAGGCTTTCCTGACGCAGATGAGAAATTAATGCGCGGCGTTGATAGGTTTCCCGATAGAGACGAGATGGTGCGTGGGGCATTAACGGTAATCAGCTGATGGGTCTTATCTCATCGGCAGTGGCCACCTCAGCCAATATTCAGGATAACGTCATCACAGCTAATGTCTATCCTGATTTATTTCAGTTCGATGAATCGATATCAATATGTTGATCCAATCCTTGCGATTGCAGAACCCACCTTGTCATGTGCCTAGGAATGTTCACGATAATCTATTTCTATTTTATCAAAAGATATGCAAAGATCTATGGCTCGTCAAATTTTAGATTGATACAAAGAAAATATATTTTGTTTTACATTATTATGATAAATAACAATATGGATTACTAACAATGTGGAATCGTCTTCCATATTTAACTGATGTTAGGTAGGTGGACAATGTATTGAATAAACCAGTACCTCCTCAATTATGATCTTTTATTTCTTTTTTTACTAGATTTATTCATTCACACCTTTCATAAGTAAATACAATCAGTGAGTCTGCTGTCGGGAAGTGTACTTGTAGTGACATTGAACGGAATGATGGAATGGAGTGCTCATGGGCATCCATTCCTATCTTGATTTTGGTATATTAAGATCCCTCATATAGCTTCTTTTGAGCCTCCGAAACGTGTTTTCAGGCTTGCTAAATGTATGAACAACAGTGAATTTTCCGTTTCGATCCTCAAGTTACTGGTCTAATATTCTTTAAACCAGCCTCCATTTTTAGAGGTAGCGAGATCCGACTACCAGACTCTCATTTTTTAAATATCAATATTAAAAAAATGCATTTACAATTTTCCATCAAATAATATCGATTTTTTTCTCATGGACTCTCGGACTATCAAAAACCTCTGCTGATGTGAGCCGGGAAATGGGATTAATATATATAAACTTTTCAGTTGACAAAATGGCGAACTTCAAATTGGAAAATTTATACTTTATTAACAGTTCTATATTTCAACCCAGCAATCACATACCCTCGAATCAATTTACTCAATGTCTGTACAGATATTATAAATTTTCATACTATAAATATCACTAAAATGACTACTCAATAATGTTGAAAATGGAGTTAGTCATTCTGTCAACTGAATGGATCATATAGTGTAGATAATATACACGTATCTTGATATCAGCATCCCTCAATGAAATCTCCTGTGATATCTACAAAATGTTTTCTTTGATTAAAAAGATTTTTGCCCTCAAATCAGGTACATATGTTGCGAAACGCATATGCGTAAGATTTTTATTCAATGAAGGTTGGAATGCTCGATAATTTTGCTCGTTTGGAAGCACAGTTTGGGAACGCTACCCTGTCGCACAATAAAGTTTGCACATAGGCCATTTGCACCATGTATGGTCATTAGAAGAGATGTCATGACAACGTTAGGCTTTACACCGCCATGTTGACTAATAATAAATTTGAAGTAATGGGCTGGAGTACACTGGAATACCTTCCTTATATTCCAGACTTGTCTCCCCGTGCCTATTAAATAGCAATCAAGACGAATGCGTTGGCTGACAAAAATAACTTTGTTAGATAATTTATAAATTTTAAAATATAACTTCATAATTGTGGATTTATGGTTGACTGCTGTGAAGAATTGAAGAGAAGGACGGTTAGGGTGATCAATCAAACTGAAATGGTAAACAAATAAAAAAATTTATTAAATTTATAATTTTATTAATAAAATTATTTATTTTTTTTACCATTTCAATTTGACTGATCAACCCAACCACCCTTCCCTTCAATTAAAATATAATTATTTAGTCCGTAGTATAGACCATTTTTTAATTACCATTTTAAGTACCATGAAATTGCTAACATCCGGCTGAAGCTTCGTAAAAAGCTTCATTTCATCGTAAATTACCAATATTTTATTTATAAAAATTCTCGTAATTGGGGCGTTTTCAATTTGGAGGTCGGCAAACTTTGTCTATTTAATTAGGTACTAAAAACTCGTTAATACCCATTTGCTTTCCACTTTAATCTTAATATAACTTGAGCACAAAGTCGAGAAAAAAGGTGGCCTTCAAAAATATTGACCCGTTTGGCGTGACCTACATCCCCAAAATTGTCAAAATAACGAGGATTGTCAAGTCAAACGACTCAATATTTTTGAAGGCCACCTTTTTTCTATACTTTGTGATTAAGTCATCTTACGATTAGAGTGGAAAGCAAGTGGGTATTTACGAGTACATAATTAGATAGACAAAGTTTGCCGACGAGAATTTTCGTTAAATAAAATATTTGGAGGTTACGATGAGATATTTACGAAGTTTCATTCGGATGTTAATAATTTCATAAAAAAGGGTCTATACCACGTACTATTTTTTTACCTTTTGGTGTTTACGTGTTGGTGGTAAATCTAATTGGTTTCAAATTGCTTGAGAGTGAATCGGTTTTTAACAGAACGAAGAACCTACGTAATAAACAGAAAATAAATGCTTAATTAAGAGAAATTAATAAAAAACGGGAATTTAATAATAATATATATTACACACGCAATCAAATAAGATACTTGAAAAGGAAAAAAAAATACAAAGAAGTAGTGGTTTTGAGCTGTAATTCCCTATTATTATCATTTCAGAAATGAGTGTACAAAAGAATCAGGAGGTTTCTAATTACTAAACGTAAATGTTAGGATTAGAAACATTTAGTTGGTCACTTAGAAATACGGATCAGTTTCAATTATAGACATCTTTATAAAAACTAGTTTCATCATCACTTTTAAACTGGGGTCTCCAAACTACGGCCCGCGAAAGTTTCTTTGAATACATGATGAAATTTAAAAAACTATTTAAAATATGAAAGTTAGGAAATTACTCACACACAAGGTTACTGCAACATTTATTGTAAGTTTTTTTTTCTCTTAGAAAGTTCATTTCACAGCTGAAGTGTCATTTATAGAACAATGTTTTTTCAACAAGCTATGGCCTGCGAAAATTGGGTGGAAGACTCAATGCTGCCCTCGGTGCTTAGTCGAGGTACTAATGTGGCCCGTGGGTCAAAATGTTTGGAGACAACAGCTTTAGAAAATAAATATTAAAATCAATTGTTAAAAACTTTTTTCATCAATAAAAAAAGTGTGTTTGTTGAGAGCTTGTGAAACACAATAAAGTTCCAATTTAATTTAATTTAAATTAAATGAAAAGGCAAGCAAGATTCATGTCTACTTAAGACAGAAGACCTAGCTGGACAGCAATCAATTAATATTTCTACAGTTTATAATAAGAAGAGAAATGGAGTATAAACTCTAGCTGCCCTACAGGAGGCCTGAGCATTGGAAGATAGAAGACATGGGATGGGGAAAAGCAGCAAGTACTAGCAATTAAATTTAGCCACCGACCCACCTAATCCGCTTCAACTTCAATAATTTATAATATGCAAACCAAATTTATTAACATACTAACTAATATTGTAATAGCTTTGGATCTCAATAACTCATATTGTAATGGAACTCAAAATATAGCAATCATATTTCACTTGTAGTCATCAAATCATTTAATTATACAGTCCCTTTAACCGCATAGTTCACTTCATTAACGAATTCAGGATATAATTTTGGGGGAGGGAGGCTTCAGCCCCAAAGCATTTTTCATATATATAACGATAATTACTTTGGAAAAAAAAGAAAAATACCAATTCTATGAAATACGAACAATAATACTTTAAGAGATAATTTTTTTATATTTTTTTCCATAAAAAATGGTTACATTTTACTATTTTTGGGGGAAGGGGGACTTCAGCCCATAAGTCCCCTCTCTCCGCCGTAGATCCGCCTGTGATTCACTTATTATCAAACCATTTATCAGTCCGTAGCGTTTAAATAATAATTAGTTCTCTACAGCAGAATTATTATTTCAATATCCCTGACAGCCGTGGAAGGGATTGGGTTAATAAAGTAAACACTACTTATTCAGTTTTGTTTATTATAATACATCATGGAAAAAAAGTTAAAGCTTTGTAATGTTTGCCCCGTCATTTATTGGAGTCTCATTTGCTGAAAAGGGGTGCGATTACTTGACAAGATATCAATTTTTTTAAATAACTGAAGATGAATCTCAAAATATTCCATAACCAACTCCATGTTAATTAATATGGACACAAACCTTACTAAACAAGGAAGTTTTTCTAAAAGTGGGGCATCTGAAGTATTGTGGAGGGTGATAAGAAAAATAAATAAATCGCGTGTAATGGGAGGTGAGCTATGGGGCTCCACTAAAGAGGTGTCTTATAAATTTTCTTATAGTTTAGAATTTTAATAATTTAACATGTTTTAATAATTTAAATTTCTAATGTTTTTTCCCCTATCTTTTGTTGTTAGATACGAGTATAGTTCCATCTAGATGAACTTGGATTTTTTACAATCTGTTTCGATTCCATCCACAAATAGAAGATAGATTTTCTTTATCATCTTCCTGCAATAATATGAACATAAAATAAAATATATCTTCTTAAATAATTTTGATTTTTTTTTCAGTCAAACTCCCAACCCCTTAGCCTTAAGTAGTCGGAGAAAGTAATAATGAGAAAATTATCAAATGTTCGGATTGGCAATAATCTTTAGGATGTTGTATCAGTCATAGAGTATCATAAAATTCTTAACTATTACCTACTTACAACGATCCTCTAGAGACATACCTCTTACAGCTGCGAATACACAATACACTAATACACAAAATACACAAACTGTATTCACACCCTACCGAGACAATCCTGCCCAGGTCGGACGTTAGCCTCCGAATCCTGCTGTATTCCGACTTGTACTTGTCGTAGGCTGCCATCCCACACTGCCAGCGTCCGGCCCCCACCGCCATAGTTACCGCCGAACCGCTACTTTTTGTAATAGGTTCCTAGCGTTCCATCTCCTTCCCGCTAATATGTTCAGTAACTGAGCGTTCCAATACTGTGTTATTCCAGTTACATACTTTTAAAATAAGTGATTCTGATACATACTCCGTTCCATGTTCTATACATGTACAAGTTTGCTTATACAGGTAACGAGCATCCACACCGAAAGATGTCATCATTAAGACGACATGACGAGAATTGTGGCGCACAGTGACTCTGGCAACATAACGGGTCATAAGTCAAAATATAGGTAGTGAATATTTTTGAGGAAAATACATAAAACGTCCATAGGCGCCGACTACTTCTGGCTCACGGGGCTTGAGCCTTGGTGAGGGCTCAGCTCCACCAATAAATAGCTGTAGTATGAACTTGATGAACATACTGATCATGTACATTAAAATTACATTACAAAGGTCTGTATCTATCTACTAGCAGATATAGCAGAATTTTTTTATCGACGTCCTATTTGGGATTTATAAACTCACCTAAACTTTAAAAGGAATCATCTATTAAAATACTGTGCTGTTTTAGTTTAAAGTATTTGGTGTAACTGCACTTTTTGTCATCGGGAGTGCAGGACAACTAGTGTTGCCCAAATGCGAGACCGAGACTAGTCTAGGTCTTGCAAACTCAGTCTTCGTCATGGTCTTGGTCTTGAAGCCTCGCAGTTGCTTATTAGCTTATTGCTATAGAGATATTATTGTAATTTTGTAGATAGGACAAAACTTAACTAAGTCTGAATGAAAAATTAGAAGAGTTAAATGCAAAAGTATATTGGTTATACCAATTATTAACATTTAGTACCTAAAATTGTCGAGTATTAGTGAGGAACTATTTTGCCTTAATTTTTATTTAAAAAATCGATTATTTTTTACCAGTCCTGGTCTTGGTCTTGCAATAGTTTGGTGGCCGTGGTCTTGATTTTGAAGACCGATTTTGGGTAATACTAAGGACAACTCAATACCTGCTCGATATAGGCACATATTATGTATTGCATATAGGCAAATAGGATGTATCTCAAAGTATATCACCACCCTCCCAGACCCCTCCTATCCCTATATCTTATAGTTCGCCCCCCTCCCAATAATTTTAAGTCAGCGCTCATGAAAACGTAAGCTTACTAAGTAAGTGTAGCCACGAAAAGAAGAATAAGTCAAAATAAAAAGATGCAACATGAGTAAAAATGATAGTAAACACTGAGAATTGAGTGCTATTCATTCCGACCATTTTAACTTAGCAAATTTTCAACTACTATTTGTAAATATTAAGCTAAACCAGTTAGTAGATTTTTCGAAATATGTACCTATTCAATTTAAAAAATTAAGAGATTTAAAATATTAATGTCAAAATAATGAAAATTTTGCTATTTATCGGATAGAAAAGTTATTCTTCTACTGAAACTCAGAAAGAAAAAATAGACATATTATTTCAAAATGCTATAACTGAAATGGAACCTCAGTGCACCTCAATTTTTATGTAAATATAGTTTACATGTACATTACTTTTAGTTAAATATTTAATGAAACTTGGTTAATAGTTATCGAGGGATGGATTAATGGTTTCGAATGAATTTACTGAGTGTGATCGTCCGAAGGTGACATTTAGGAAGATAGATAGGCTACTCCAGCAGCTATTTCTCAGTTAACTTGTCAAGGCAACAAAAAAAAAAAAAAAAATCTGCGAAATTCAATTATATACAAAAGTTTATAAATATTCAAAACCAGTTCACAACAAATTCACAACCTGAAAGTTAAGAAAATAATAATGATTTAGATTTAGAAGCTTTACGTGAAACGTCATTATTATATATTAAAATACTTCATGATACTACTAGCATAATACTTTAATATCGACAGTCATACTCCAAAAGCCTGTAAGAACAAAAACTAAAACTTTTCGAAAAAAAGTGCGTAGTTTTTGTTCCATGAGTATTATTTCAGTTTGATTTTTTTTGCAGGCCTAAGACAAAGATGTAATGGTCTATGGAACTTTTTTGATAGTATTTCTGGCTAATAATCTTTATAATACAGTCATTAATTCTAACTTATAGTTTTTAGTTACCTTTAAAACAGGTATTCGTTAGGTAAAATCAATACAATATTTGTAGTAACACCCATTTCTTTGATCTTTGTTAACAAATATCAAATCATGATAGGAACAAAGTCAGTTTCCAAAATGCAGAGAAACAATGCTTCAAATGAAAATTTGTAAAAAATTTGACTGGAAAGCGAGTATTTGATCATAAGAGTTATTCACCTTTTTGTCTCCCACTGTAGGGACGGATCGAACGGACTCCATGCGTTAATCAACTTCATATGAACATGGTTTGATTTACGAATGCTCAGTAAGTTATAAGTAACCTGTTGATGTGTAGATCACTTCGTATCTCAGCTTCTTGCGATTTCGGATATTTGTTGGTTTGAAAAGATGAAACTAGAGTTCTTTTTTCGTCTCGCGTTACATTTTCCACTTCTCAATGAAATCAATTCTCTGTCTCTCAGTATTTGGTATTCGGCGGCATCGTAGCTTTTTCCAGTCAATCTCATTTTTCAGTGTCCAGGAGGTTTCGACTATTTTGAAGGCCGTTTAATATTATATTCCCACATATCACTCTCTTCTTTGTTTCGTCTAGTTCCATAGTTACAGAATGGACTTAATCCATAACAAATAGTAATATTAATTTAACCTTTATTTTGATAATTGGGATTGCTAAATATGCTAATTGGTGAATCATGTATTGTATAAAAGATGTCCATAACTCAAAGGATATAAGAACAAAGCTATCCCTAGGTAACGAGCCAAGCTATCTTTGATAGATTAGAAATATTTATCAATGTACCAACTGGACACAACAAAACCCATTATCAAGACTAAGGAAACAGTAACAGATTTCAGCAAAAGGTCTCTTTCTCACAGACTTCATATCAATCCTAAAGGATAAGGATATTAATTTCCAATTGTTAATAACTCCTTTTCCACGCTTTCTAGACCTTCCAGAATTCCTCCACCTCTCAACTATTCCTGGGTATATTACCTCCATGCTCCTCAGAACAAATCACACTTGCAGTTACATTCTTGAAGTCACACTCTTGCCAGGAGACCTGAAGTGAACTCTTGTAGTCAACCCATATATCCATAATATATTTCAGTACGTTAGATGTCATTTGTAACAGACATTATAAATAAAAATATTACTTATAAAGTCTTCACTGCCTCCGATACGTTAACTCATGATAAGCAGTGCCGGCCTCAGAGCAGAGGTTCCCGTTCTTTTCCCTAGAGGCGCCAGGCTGAAATTTCCCACTACTTATTAGAAATTTTAAAAAAGAATACTAAACGTAAGAGAAAAAAATAGCCTATTAATAAAATTAATTGATACTGTGGTCCAAAACACTTTATACATTCTGTATTTAAATGATCACCTTTCATTGCGTATTTTCGGTAATGACACAATATCAATAACCTTCGCTGTAGCACAGTTTTTTTACATCACAATTTGCTAGTTTTTAAATTACAGGTTTTTACAAAAGACAGTAGAGAAGAAAGGAAAGATCGTAGATTTTCCAGAAAAACTCAAAACTTCATTTTCTATAGAATTTTCCTTCTATAAAATTTTCCTTACAGGATTTTGCACAGTGGCTGTCGATATAATTTTTTTTTAGATATTTAAAATCGTCAACGTAAACATTTTGAAGTTTTGCTATAAAATTAATTTATTATTCAAACTTTTTAATAAAATAAGAATACCTAACTAAAATTAAAATAAACAGAAATTTTGAAAGGACTTATTTGCCAATCCAATATTATGGAGAACTTTTTAAAGTTTTTTTTCTCCCAGTCTCTAAGAAATTTTGATTCGAACAACATGTTAGAGCTGTAACCCATAATGGACGCAAGGATTGTCAGCGATGTTGGGCCGGTGAATAAGCCATGAAGAGCTAACACCCTCTAGCGGAGCGGGCGGTGGACGTGGCACATTAACAGCAGGCGGATTATCCTCTCACCTGCCTCCTGAATAACTTAAACACATTTCACCAACTACCACCGCCTCCTAGATCCGGTAATATGTCGGGCATATTGTGAGGATCGCGATTCGATTAAACTTTTAGGCTAATCGATAGCGGCTAGTAGTTTTAAATTGATAACGAGGGTTCCTCTCTGATTTCATTAGCCATCAACCCATTTGTCAGCATTAAACCGAGGCCTCTTTCTTACAATCCAGTTTCTATTTAGTTCTCCCTTCTGATAAAATTATTAGAGATTTTGCTTTACAGCTTCAATACAACGATGATTTTTTTATCATCTTTGTAAAATATTCACAATCACCAAAATATGTTATTTTAACTATCGAATACATACAGTCAAGGTCAAAAGTATCCGTACATAAGATCTGAAACACTTAAAAAACAAAAACTGTTAAGTTAAAAGCAACAATACCTATCATCCTCCTGAAAAATGAATACAATAAAATTTCTAAAATTTAAGGACCTCTAGACCTTTATTATATGTATTTTTAATTTCTGTATTTTCTCCTTGTATATTTGTCAGGTTAGTCTTGCTGAAAATTGCATTAATGAGTGGCAAATTAGGGAGGTTCCTCACAATCTACTTAGTGTCCCAGAAACAACCATCCGTTCATAAGAGTAACATACCTTAGGTTTGCCTTTTCTCTTTAACTACTCAGATTTATCCCAAAATTTTTATTTGATTATTGTTAATTTTTTTTTGGTTTAATTTTTTTATTCACACCTGTCTAGTGGTAATGACAACCAGTGAATGTGAGGTCGATTGGAAAAAATAATGTCATGAAAGGCATTACGAGTAATCAGTGCCCAACGGCACCTCACTCGGCGTGATATCTACATTAGGCGAGGAGGTCCCTCATCCAGCTCCTCTTCAGTCTCCTGCAGACGTTACCTGGCATATTCGTAGTGGCCATGTCATTTATAGTGTATTAGGATGTCCTTGTAAGTTGTCATGGAATCGTTTGTAATGAGTTCGCATGTGTTCGTTAACAGTCGCCATATGGAGGTCAGTATGTAAGGTTATGTTGTTAATGTACCAAAGTGCTTTTGTAATTGTTCTGAATGTTTTTGCTTGAAAGATTTGAAGTTTATTTAAGCGAGTCTTTTTAGAGTTCCAAATATCTGTGATGCGTAAGTCCTGTGATAGGTTTTAGTAAGTAATTATATGTGTTCAATTTCTGTCTAAGTTTTAGTTTTGAATTTTTCGAAAGAAGTGAACTCAGGATTCTTAACCTCTGATTTAGCGTTTCTCGTTTCTTGATTATATGTGGGCCCCACGTCATTTTTCTGTCAAATGTCAGACCAAGGTAGTAAACAGTGTCTGTCTGTGGAATCTGTGTATTGTCAAGGAAAACTGGAGGGCATGTTTCATGTCGAAGCGTAAATGTGATGTGCGATTAGTGATTTGTCTTGATTTAGTCGGATTTTCCAAATTTTGAACCAGTCATGTAATCTTGTTAAATACTGTTGTAGGGTCTGTGAGGCGTATGTTGGATTTTTGTGTCTTGCTAAAATTGCTGTGTCGTCTGCATATGTCGCTGTTAAAATGTTGGGACTGCAAGTATGTCATGGATGTATGTGATATAGAGTAGTGGAGCGAGTACTGAACCTTGAGGTACTCCTGCTGAGATAGACCTGATGGAAGATAGTATTGTAGAAATTTAATCGGTTTTTTAACTTATCTTGATGAAGGAATTGGATATTTAATGGCTGTCAGCTACTGGAGCCTTATAATGGAGACTTATAAGGCTGACAGGCCTGTATTCTGATCAATTCAAAGAGATATACTCAATAAAACGGGTCTTAAAAATGGGACTACTCACTACCGTCGTTGACGAAAAAAAAATTCTAATGATTTGGAATCAACAAAAAGCAAAAATAGGTTTTACTATTGCCATAAACAGATTCTTGAGAGTCACCAGCATTTGTTATAATAAGTTAAAGTTAACTTTTGTTTATCTTAAAATGAAGAATATGAAATTTTCCTCAATTACATCATTTTTCTTATCTCTGTCAACTATAGGATCATTTCAAATCAGTGTCAGCTAACGGTACAACAAAATTAATCTCTTAATTTTAAATTTTTTAAAATTTAGATAAATGTTTCATGAATTTGAAATGTGTCTTGGTAAGGTGAGAAATAGTTCTTTAAGATGAATCCATGAAAAATATAATAACATCAATATTTAAGTTTTTACACGTAAAGTTCAAAGAAATTTGCTTAAGCATGGTGCACTTACCCTATTATAAACAGAGTATTTTTTTTTTTGTCAAGAGTATATCAAGACAGAAAATAATATCAGATGTAAATAAAACTTTATGAACTGGACCCAATATGCTGACTTGCAAAACACCAGCTTGTGAAGCTTTACACAGAGACTACTACTATGGATATATGGAGATATGGATTCGTCTATTTGACATCAGACAAAATTTACAAATAATAATAATGTTGTATATTTGTTGGTTGTATAATAATAATAACAATTGAACATTGGCTTGAACAAGTGATGGATCATGGGATATAAGGTAAAAAAATATCGCTAATCAATGCAAAAATTCTCACACCTAACCATATCGAAAATAAAATTGATACCTAATGCATATTAAATTGTTTACATAATTATAATTAAATTATAATTGCATTAAATTAAAATGAAATCTTCACGGATATTGCTCGCAAATTCAGGCTTGGATGAGCTTCAAGTTTCAATTAAAACTATTAAATGTAGCAGTTGGGAAGCCGCCAGTTTTCCACGAACAAACAGAATCTAATTGAAGGTAATTTGCATTTTAATTAACATTATTGGATAATAAATTATAGGGAGCTCTCTGTTTTCCTAAATATTGCGATATCATATTTAAAAATTACAATATAATTAAATCAATTTGTTAGGTTAATATTGAAGCAATTACGGACATGTATAAAATTCAGTAATTCATCACAAGCGGAAATACAATAACATACGTAAAGCAATATAATAAATATCTGTTTCAAATATTGAAATAAATATAGGACTTATTTACTAACAAATCCATAATTACCTGTTTTATCCATATTAAATATTTTATTTTACATATTGACTGGGAATAGAAATAGAATTTTATTATTACAATGCATCCTGGGTAAGAAAAAAAAACTTGGCTTGCAATTTCTAATAATAACAGGTACGTCACTGTTCAAGATGTATTATTTTATTTTTAAGTATTATATTGTTTTTATTTTACGTAATTTATTTTTGTTCTTTGTATGTATGGTATACACCCTTTGTTGTTTGTATGAACCCTTTGCTTACTTTCACCGAAGTCCACTAATGCTATAGAATATAATATTTATTAAAAATTTAAATAAAACTGAAATATCTTAATACAGATATTTGATACATTTTTAAAATTACAGCTTATACTTCAACAAATTCAAACACACACATATCCGCATCGCATCCGTGCCGCATGCTTCTTCATGATGAAATCAAGCTATGACTGTAAGTGGTCCACGAGCACTGTTCTAACACAACCTAACTATGTTTGTTTTCATCGAGATAAAGGGTACATACGGCCGTAGTGCGGCTCAGATGCGATGCGGGCATGTTATCCAATCTTAGCAAAGCCTTTTTCATAGCTAAAGAATTACTCTCAGCTAAAAGTAAAATTAATAAAAGTAGGTTCAAATTCAATTTTGCAACGCAATAATGATCCTAATTCTGAAATTGAATTGCAAAGATATAAATAAATTCAGTCGTCAATTCAAAATATAATTCAGAATACAGAAACATGAGTAGTCTAAGCCACGGAGAACAATATTTAAACATAAGAACAGTCAGCCAACTTAGGGTAGCCAATCTAACGAAACCTTCATTTTTTCTTAATGAAACGGCCTATACACTAGAAGAAGAAAACTGTACTATATGCAACCTACAGAAAAGCCAAACGCCAGAAAATTTATATTTTTAATAGAATGTCCAATGTATAAAGACTTGAGGGAACATTACATAGAGAAATATATTACAGAAGATAACAATTCAATGCCCTGTATTTTTTTAACGACAGAAAACCTCGCAAAGTTAAATGATATATTTTAATTAATTCAACAGTAGGGAGTGGTGTAAGCTCAGTGGTAGGGCACTGAGCTTCCAATGCAAAGGTCCCAGGTTCGAAACCCGACTCTTGGCAGAAAATTTATTTGTCTGCTTCATTGGCCGTGGGGCGACCCTGGGTCGGAAGACCCTCCTGGGGTACACCCAGCCATACACATAAAGTGTGTACCCTTCATTAAATAATTAGTTAAGGGGGAAAATCTGGCGGTTGAGCGTGATCTCGGTCAAATCACCTCCTTGCGCAACTGTTGACCTAGAAACAGTGCTTTCCCTAAATAGTACTGAACCCCAAACCCTTCATGGGTTGTAGTGGTACAGGTTTTTTTTTACAGTAGGGAGCCTTAAAATAAGATCATTCATTATGAATGATTAAATGCCAGCAATATTTATGCCTATGTTTATGTTTACCACAAGACATTGTTATCTTCGACTAAGAAGTGAGCATACGTACTGTTGCAATCTGCCACATTGTATCGTAGGAATATATTATTGCTATTTTTTAAATTCCTATAATGTATATTTATTTGATATTTTTTTTTTATATCTTCGAAGTCAATACTTTTTATTGATATTGTTATACAGTTGTCTTTCCTTTTCTGTTTTAGTTGCTGTTTTTTAAATATATTTCTCCGATTTATTTCTATATCTGTATAGCACTTTATTTTGATTCTTTTTTATGTAATTATGTATTTAATGGAGCCAGACCTCCTGTAATTGTATATATTAATTACAAAATACAGAACTTTCATTCATTCATAGTTAAAAAATTAATTTAACACTAAATAAATTAATATAGTTCAAGTCACTGACCAGGTTGATGGTGACTATGAGGTCGTGCTGCTGGTGCCTCTTCTTCTTGTTGTCCTTCTTGACGGGGACGGGGGGCGGCGCTTTGGCGACTGCCTGCTGCTGGGCCTTGGGGCCCGGGGTCTTCACCGACCCCTTCTGGGCCGTCGGGGGCTTCTTCACTGGGGTCGTCGACCCTTTGGGGGCGCATTTCTGGTTTACGTGGCCGTCTGCGGGCTTGTTGCGCGCCTAAAAATAAAAACAAATCATTGATGAATGTAAATTATAAATATACATATACATATTCTCCATCTGTATATACATATATATAAATATTAGAATCAAGAGTTACATTACAAGGAAAATATACATTATGACTCGGGGTTTCATTCCACTAAGAGGCTATAGGCAGGATAATATGGAATGGGTCATTTTCAATATGTTACGGCTGGAATCTTCTACAGTTGATTTTCTCGGCTCGGTAAAGATTTCAATACATAATTATTAATATAATATAAATTAATTGATTAAGGTGAAAAAACTTCACGGTTGAGCATGGTTTCGGTCCAACCTTCCTGCACGAACGTTAGTCTTGAATTAATACTTCCTTACTAAGTTCTACAGGACACCAAAGATCCCTTCATGTGTTGTAGTGATACGATTTTTTTGTGTTGTATTATTTCAAAGAACACAAGAATGAATTTCGCTTATTCAGGCATCATCAGGACAGAAAAAAAAAAACCAGATCACGTATATTCAGAGAGAAGAAAAAAAATTTCTATCGACATTGCACGAAGATATCCAAATACATACTGGAAAAATAAGATTATATTAACACAGCTGAGGAAGGTTATATTGAACAGCTGATTAGCTAGGATACAAAAAAAAGTATGCATGAATAAAATATAATAATATAAAAGGTACTAAATTAAATTTAAAAATAAATAACAATTAAATAAATTCAAAAGAAAAAGCTATTTAATTTAACACCTGTTGTATTATATTTTAGCTATGCGTATTTCAGCTGTTGTATACAATACTTTTTACGTTTTTTATTTATTATTGTATACAATATATATATATATATATATATATATATTTTTTTTTTTTATTATTATTTTTTTTTTTTTAATGGCTTCAACCACTAGGGTCATTATCGCCTTATTCTCATCGAGAACTAGATTATATTCTCAAGTCCAGAAAATTTTAGAAAAGAAAACAGTTAATCAACCTCATTTGTATTGTCCTGTAAAATGGAGTATAGATCGTTCGTCAATTAACAAGAGAGTCTAAATGTTTCTTAAGTTCTGCATTCTGTTAAGATGTGCTTCACTGTCAGAGGAGTCCCACAAGTTTGGCATGTTAGTGAAGAATCACGGGCCATGGGTAAGGCGTGTATCGACTTATACACAGGCGCGTAAGAATTACTTCCTATCTGCGGTTATTCCTATTTGACGATGCCCAAGAGGAAACGTTCCCCTTAACCTCCCTCAATTTATTTTCGGTTACATTCGACCATCTGTTCATATTTTGTCCTCATTCTCCGCTTGATGGCAGTTACAAAATCCTCTACAGGTACTCCCCGATAAGGTATTCTATCAGTAATGGCTTTTTTGGCAGCTCGACAATACAACATTACAATGTAATATACAAGATAACAAAGCTTGTAATCAGCTGTTCGATACAATCTTAATTATCTTAGTTAATAGAACCATATTTTTCCAGTATGTATTTTGATGACTTCATGCGATGTCAATAACAATTTTTTTTTCATTCTGAATATATGTGATCTGGTTTTTTTCTTCTCTTTCTTTCAGTATGTATTTCGATGGTTTCGTGAGATGTAAATAGAAATTTTTTTCTTTTCTTTTCTGCATATATATGATCTTGTTTTTTTCTGTTCTTATGATGCCTGAATTGATGAAACGTTGGACGGTTGAATATTCACCTCTGTATGCTAGAAACTCATGGCTTTATAATTTGAATTTTTCCACTTTACGTCTCTTTCCTAGCTTATTTTAGTCATTAAAAATTACTTATGGATGTGACTTTATTTTGTTTTTTTGCTTTAAATATTTATTAGCACCTGTCAACTTGTGTCGAAAATCAGTAAATGTGCTGAAATAATGACTTAGCAACACCTCTCCGTGACTTGTTTCAATTACTTAGGTTGTCTAAGAGAGATGATGTCTCATCCAACACCTTTTTAGTCTCCTCCTCAGATTCAGCTGTTGCCATATCTCTTATTATTTTGTTGTAATGTCCATTTATATTTGTATTGAGGTAGAGGTCAGTATGTAAAGTTTTGTTAGTCACGTACCAAGGTGATTTTCTTATGGGTCGTAATACTTTTTATTGGAAAGTTTTAAGTTTTCTAGTTGGGTATTTTTAGTAATACAATATGTCTTTGATGAGTATCGATGTTATACAATGGAATATGCAAGTTAATAAAACGTGTCTTTTTTTTTTATAGGATTTATTTATGCATGCTTTGAAACCATATATTATATTTTAAACTCTATAAGTAGGCATTTAACATTCAGACGAAAAGAAAAGTTGTAACTAATTTTGAAACAAGATATACGGGCTGGATCAATAGGGACGATGGGAGCTAGGGCAGACGAGTTATTGTGTTATCCACGTTATAATATGGCCATGATCCTATTTGGGCCAATTTGGGATATCAGTGTAACGCACGCTAGCGAACTAATGGGGTATCGTCTCTCATATTGGCTTTGCGGCATGTGCCTCTTGTTAACTGCCCATTGGTCCGCAAACCGTAAATTACCATCGACGATCGATCATTGGTGGATTAAATCATCTTTCGGACCAATCATAGTTCACCTTTTAACGTGATAGACTTTTTTTATCCCTGGAAATTGCAATGGTGAGTGGATGGAGGAGGAATGAAACAGAAAATATGTTTTAACCTTAAAGTTGCCATTTTAGTTCTTTTTTAAAAAAATGTTTGGTTAAAAGTGGCAAAATTCTAACCACGCAGCCTTATTTCCCTAAAATGTAGGTAAATAACAAAGTAACCTGCCTACGTTTTGCGAATCCAGGCACCATCAGACCACACTTTTTTCGGAATTTGTGATTGGTTATCATTGAGGGTATGATGTGATTTTTTTTTTTACATTCCCTATGCTGAATGTAAACATGGTATATTTGTGTGACAAATCATTATGTTGTAACAAAATCAATTTATTTTTTTTGTATCGTGTTTTTAAAATATCTTTTTTATATCGTTATCATTTATTTTACTTTTTTATTTTTTATAGATTGTTTTTATTGTACTATATATTTTTTATTATTATTTTTTTAATTTGTATTTTATCTTCTTTTTATATGATATGCCTATACACGTAGAGTCACAATACCTATTGCAATTGATTGGGGCAGACTTTATTAGTATTAGAAAAAAAAATGCAACCCTAAAGACCTTATCTAGGGCGAAGAAACAAACCTGTACTGGAATTATACAGACCGTACCCAGATCTACAACAGACCTGATATCATGTTGATGGATGGTAAACGCGATGATGGCTGAAATAATAGGCATTACGTTCAAATGATTTAGGCAGACTGGGTCAATTAACTGTGACGGCATTAGAGAGACTTTGGTTTTTTGGAGTAAGAACAAAAAAAAAAATTAGAAAACATATTAGTGTAAACGAGTAAACACTCACCAAAATACAGTAAACCTATGACAGTATTTCTAAAATGCAGGTAAAGAATAAAAGAACCCGTCAAAGTTTCGACAAATTATGCATCAACAAGACGAAAAAAACAAACCCAATATCCGTTACACTCCGTTACATCCAATCTGGAAGGTGAAGTCTGATGATTCCTGAATTGTTGAAACATCAGTAATAACTTATCAGATATTCACACTAATATACAATATTTGGATTCAACCTGGGAAACCCAGAACCATGCTCTGCTGCTCTCATGTGAAAGGCAAAGCAGGACTCAAAGATATCCCAACGATTCCAGCCGTGTCAATGGTATTAAAAAATAGTGGAGACTAGATGATATCACTAATGGTTTATACGTTAAGGACTTGGAGTGGAGTATCTGGACATTGCCGCCAGAACTTCAATAGGATAATCACAAAGTTCTTGGGGCCATTGCCGTTTCAACCTTCGTGTACGACTATATGGACGGTTGAATGTGGATTAGGATTGTGTTAAGGGATTAGGATTATGAATAAGTTTTTGAAGAAAGTGCGACAATCTGGTTGGAATTAAGTCTAAATATTACATTTGATTTTCAAAGATCTAGCTCTTCCCCACAGACCAATTCCAAAGGTCCAGTGTTGCAGTATGGTCTTATAGATTAGCATTTTTTTTTTTTTTTTCAATTGTACAATAAGTCTGTTGAACAGACCCATTTTTTTATCAAATTAATAACATTCGTCTGAAACTTCGTAAATAACTTTATTTCATTATAACATACAACTATTTTATTTACGAAAATTCTTGAAATTAGGTTGTTTTCAACCTGGAGAACTTTGTTTATTTCATTAGGTACCAAAAACTCTTAAATACCTATTTGCTTTTCACTTGAATCGTAGCTTAAATTGAGCACAAATTAGAGAAAAAAAAGGCGTCCTTTAAAATTATTGAGCCGTGAGGCGTGACATACACCCCCAAAATGTAAATATAACGAGGTTTTATAGGCTAAACAGCTCAATATTTTTGTAGGCTACCTTTCTCCTCGATTTTGTGATACAATTATGTTCGATTCAAGTGGAAAGCAAATGGGTATTTATGAGTTTTTAGTGTCTAGTTCAATAAACAAAGATTGCCGACCTCCAGATTGAAAAAGTCCCAAATCCAAGAATTTTCGTAATAAAATAGTTGTAGATTACGACGAGATAAAGCTGTTCACGAAGTTTCATGTGGATGTTAATAATTTAGTAAAAAGGGTTCTGTATCACGGACTATCTATTATAATAAGCAAAATCGTCGTTTGTCACAAAAGCTCTTGTCAAGTCTGGTAAGGGTTTCATGTCAATCTTTTGTCTAGAACTCTGTCTGAGAAGGAGAGAGGTATGTAGTTAATAATGATTGACTGACAGGTGAGTTCTAATTATAATAAGGTATGGAGTCATTCAATGACTCGTCTGAAGATAGATTTTTATGTCTCTTGAGGTATTCTGTTAATGCTAGCGCTCCATCCAGTTATGTGCTGAATGCGCTGGCATAGAGCCTACACTTCTCTCATACTGTCAGTTGCTTTGAGACGTGTCGTACGAAGGGCCAGTAAGACTCAAGTCCATAATCGATGCCTTTTGAATATATTCCGTGGATCTTATTCTTAGTGGAGTTTATCTCAAAACTACAACTTGATTCTGGATTAACGTCAATAAGCCCTCTGTTACGGGAAACAGGTTTAGTCTAATCTGCCATTTTATTTATTGCAGTTATTATTGTCAGTAATAGTTGTCAATTTATATAGTATACAACATCTCCCGCGAGAAATATGCGTTGTCGTTGTCACATAGATCCTTGATTACACGGGTATTTAGCTTGGTTAGGTTCTAAGAGAATTTTTAAATTACTATTTATATTTTAATAATAGTGAAAATAGGCTAACATATACTTACTTTCCCTTCAATTATGGAAAGGCTAAAACAGTTTTCAAAAAATTTAAGTTATAGGTTTTTCTTAAGATATATGATACAACAGATGTTCATGATTACACGTGAATCTACTTTGAAGGAGATGCGGGAGAAGTTTCTAAACTTTCGATGGAAACTACAGGTTGCGTTATTGCCTGTGAGAAACGAGCAACGCAACATTCGTGTATATTACCAAAGTTTATTGAAAAAAAAGTTTAACTAGTTACGAAGTCAGACTCTCATTGGTCAAGCAGAAGCCAATCAGCATCTAGTAAGCATTGAACTACATTTAATAATAGATACTCTTCGAATGGATTTCGTAGATCTTATTCAATAGTTTATCTCATAATAGAGTATTTTTTATTCTTATTTGTTTAAAATTTAAAATAAAGAATAATTGAAATCGTAAGAAAGGTTGAAATATATTTATAAAGTTATGCAACAATGATGTCACTTAAGATTATATAGCATTTCCAAGTCAATTTCAACCTTTTCCAAGTCAAATTAAACTTTTTCCAAGTCAAATTCAACCTTTTCCATTGTCAGATTAAACCTTTTCCATTTCAAATTCAACCTTTTTTTATTTATTTAATTATCTTTAATTTTTCGATGTGTGGGTCTGTTATCGTATGAGTAGTTTTTGAAAATAACCTCCTTTTTAATATTACGTGACTGAGTTTCGAATTATTTAAGTTTTTTTAAATTATTCGATATAAGGGTGTATTTTTATGTTTCCCGATCAGTAAATTTTGAAAATGACATCCATTTATGTTTACGCCACTGTGTTTTGATTTATTTAAGTTTTTATAATTTATCCAACATAAAGGTCTACTTTATATTTCTGGAGCCGTAGATTTTGAAAACGACCTCCATTTTAAGATTAGGCCACCGCGTTTCGACTTATTTGAGTTTTTCGGATATTTTTCATATGAGGGTTTATTTTTATGTTTCCGGAGCTGTAGATTTTGAAAATGACCTCCATTTTAAGATTAGACCACCGCGTTTCGACTTATTTGAGTTTTTCGGATTTTTTTTCATATGAGGGTGTATTTTTATGTTTCCGGAGCTGTAGATTTTGAAAATGACCTCCATTTTAAGATTAGGCCACCGCGTTTCGACTTATTTGAGCTTTTCGGATATTTTTCATATGAGGGTTTATTTTTATGTTTCCGGAGCTGTAGATTTTGAAAATGACCTCCATTTTAAGATTAGGCCACCGCGTTTCGACTTATTTGAGTTTTTCGGATTTTTTTCATATGAGGGTGTATTTTTATGTTTCCGGAGCTGTAGATTTTGAAAATGACCTCTATTTTAAGATTAGGCCACCGCGTTTCGACTTATTTCAGTTTTTCGGATATTTTTCATATGAGGGTGTATTTTTATGTTTCCGGAGCTGTAGATTTTGAAAATGACCTCCATTTCATGATTACGCCATTGAATTTTGACTTATTTAAGTTTTTCGAATTTAGCCAATTTAAAGGTCTACTTTTATGTTTTCGGAACCGTAGATTCTGAAAATGACCTCTATTTTATGATTACGCCACTGCGTTTCAACTTATTTAAGTTTTTAGAATTTAACAAGTATAAAGGTCTAATTTTATGTTTCTGGAGCAGCAGATTTCCCCATTTTGTAAATGACCCAATTTCAAGTTTATGCCACTGTGTTTTGGATTATAAAAGTTTTTTCTTTTTTACTTTTTCGGTATAAGAATCTACTTATATGTTATCCGAGACGCATTGAAATTTTTCTAATCTTTAATATTTAAATTTATCTAATATTAAAGCTCCATTTTATGATTAAGCCGCTGCATCTCGAATAATTAGGCTTCATTTTGGATTTTTACAATACAAAGTTTGATCAATATGTTTTCGAGTATGAATAAATAAATAAATATTATGAAGCTAAAGTTAAATTAACCACAGAATACAAACTAAAAAGCCGAAAAGCAGCTGGTAATAAATTTAACCTTCCGTATTCAGATTTTTCAGCTAATTGTTCGAAATCTTATAATTTTGTGACAGGAGACCACAACATTAAAAAAGATAACTAAAATTAAATTAAAAATGAGACAATACATATTTTATTTATTTTGATTAGATATTTTTATTTATTTATTGAAAAATAAATTAATCCTTCATATTTTGTTTTTTATTCGAAGGAAAAATCAAAAACACTTAAAAAAAACCGAAACACAGTGGCCTAATCTTAAAATGTAAATCGTTTTAAAAACTAAGGCTCTGGCATCATAAAAGTAGACCTTTAAGTTGGATAAATTCGAAAAACTTGAATAAGCCGAAACGCAGTGGCGTAATCTTAAAATGGAGGTCATTTTCAAAATCTACAGCTCCGGAAACATAAAAATACACCCTCATATGAAAAATATCCGAAAAACTCAAATAAGTCGAAACGCGGTGGCCTAATCTTAAAATGGAGGTCATTTTCAAAATCTACAGCTCCGGAAACATAAAATTACACCCTCATATGAAAAATATCCGAAAAGCTCAAATAAGTCGAAACGCGGTGGCCTAATCTTAAAATGGAGGTCATTTTCAAAATCAACAGCTCCGGAAACATAAAAATACACCCTCATATGAAAAAAATCCGAAAAACTCAAATAAGTCGAAACGCGGTGGCCTAATCTTAAAATGGAGGTCATTTTCAAAATTTACTGATCGGGAAACATAAAAATACACCCTTATATCGAATAATTAAAAAAAACTTAAATAATTCGAAACTCAGTCACGTAATCTTAAAAAGGAGGTTATTTTCAAAACTAGGTACAGGACAGCATAATACTAGTCCCTAATAAATCCGAATAGTTACAATAAATCGATATCCGTAAGTGAAAATTCTACTTAGAAGAGCATAATAATAGACTTTCATATTGGAGGGGGGGAGGGGATGGCCATTATTTAAAAAAAAAATATAAAATTTA